AAAGAGAGACGACGGAGAGTTCATTGAGCAACGGCACGTGTACGCGAGATAGAGAGTGCGGCTGCGATGCTTGGCGGCGGTAGGGGGTGGGAGGAGGTGAGAGAGCGGCAGGCGGCAGCGGCGTGGCGCGGCGCGGCGCGGCGCGGCGCGGCAGCAGTAGGGCGAAAAGGGGTTGCCAAGCGACCATACCGTGCGGTTGCCCTTGGCGACTAGTTGCGTCACTGCAGCGTCGCGTGACGTCACGCGACGCCACTGCCCTTGACCGTCAGGGATGACACCGGGGAGAGCGTCCTGGCGACCCTGTGCCTGTGCAACTCCACATTGCCTCTCTCCTCTTCCCGCGCGTCTCTCATCCCTCGCCGTTCACCCTGACACTGGGATACGCAGGGATACAAGTCTATATATAGAAGCGAACTAAATAGCGAACCGCTACCACCACCGCCACCGCCACCGCCACCGCCACCGCCGTCGCCGCCGCGCGCGCGTCGGAACGCACGCGGCTTACCTTTCGATCCGGGCGGCTTCTGCCGCTGGAACCGCAGCCCCCCCCCCGATACGCATCGCGTATCGCGGTGTGTTTTGACACGCAACTCGAAATAGCATTAACGCGCCTCCCGCCGTCGCTATTTTCAGAATTACGGATGCCGGCGGTTATTGTTACGCCGACGATCAAGCGCGGGGCGGTGCGACAGGCGCTCGCGCGTTTTGCGCCCTCAACCGGTAATCGATTGACGCGAGAGAAAGAGAGAGATAGAGAGAGAGTTTACACGTCGCGTGCAATATTTATAGAATGACGCGCGCGCGAGGCTTGTTTAACGCGTAATGCGAACTCGCTTAATACAATTCCCACTTGTCAGTGACGGCAGCCACCCTCTACCGCGACGTTTTCCATTATTTATCTTTTCCGTTGTCCTTTTTATTCGAGCGCGTCACACACGTCGCGATATGCCTCTCCCCGAGATTTCACGGCACAGTTATCGTCATCAATTTCTTACCATTCGATTCTTTCGCGGATTCCTGATGAACAGCTCGTCGACGAGATATTCGGGCCATGAATTTTACTTAGGGCAATTTTACTTCTACTCGATATCGCAACGGCAAACGCAAGATACGGTCTTGAATATTTTATTATATCCCCGCACGGAGAACCCGATGAAAATTTTCTGTTCTCCTGATCCTATTGTTTTCCCCGTCATCCCTAGACGCACTCGCAAGAAATTATTACGCCATAATGATAATAGAAAAGTTATAAAATGTTTAAATAACGACGGCGCGATACGATGAGAGATATTGATTAATTGTACAAATTATTTTAGTATTAAAATGAATTCTATATAAAAATCCATTAATAAAAAATAATTTAATTATAGAATATCATCACATCACTTTTCAATCTCGTGTACTCTATTGATCGAATAAATAAATTTCTATAAATAAATATATAACGTCGATTATACATTCCACAGGTGCTTTATATTGATATTCAAAAACATGTTGTTTACTTTACGAATGTTCATAAAGATTTTAGAATTTAAGAATCTTAGAAATTAATAATAAGAGATTAATTATTGCTACGTTTTCGCAATGCCGATTGACTTTCTCGATCATGCTATGTTTGTGTTGCGAAGACAGCACGAAGGTCGTGCATTTTGATGATTTGTATCTTTTATATATATGTAGCTGTTATCATAGATAAAAAGGTTACAAGTTGTGTAAAAATATATTTTTATTTCGTACGTTCTTTAGATTATTTTATAATCAATTAAATGTGAAGTATATAATTACGTAATTTTTTTTCATGTTACACGACAGTTATTCATAGTACGACATGTACATAGTTGCGTCATAGAATTTATTTTTTACTTAATTGAAAAATATATAATGTCAGAAAATAAAATAGCATGTGTCTAAAGTATCTAATGTCAATATTATATATTAAAAATTGCGTGTCATGGATGTCAATATTGATATTCATCTATTTCTGAAAGATATTATGAGATATAACGAGAGTATTTCAGGAATGTAAGAATAATTTTATATATCTAAACATGAATTTTTATGAATTTCGTTAAAAATATACTTTGAGGAAGCAACTCTGCTATCTTCCATATATCTCTCGTGCAGATTTTTTCTATCAAGCTATGAATTTCCGCGATATCTGTTGAGAGCGACGGATTATCCTCTCACGTGCAATTTACGCGTATCTCCGCTATTCAATGAACGTTAAAACACGAAGAGTAATTATTTAGTAATTATTTACTGAATATATTTTATAAAAGACGTTCACGGTAATGTGTTTAATATATTCTTTATCGACAATTTATGATATTTTCTTCCGAAAATTAGTCGCGGATTTTGATGATATTGAAAATATAAAAAATATTAAAGTATTTAAATGTATTTTAAATAAGAATATTCTAAGCACTTTGGAATTATGTTTTAAATATAAAATTTTTTTTTAATTTATATATTGAGACTAAAAATGACAATAAAACATTATTTCTAAAACATTATTTGTTTTAGAAATATAGACTTAATGTTTGTAAATTAATAGCATGAAATATGAATGTATAATAAAAACATAACATATTTTTCCTACATATTTTTGTTTCACATTATTATTGTTATATGAAACATGGTATATTCAGCTACATTTATTGTTTTTATTCGTTATGAGTTGTTGGTAGTCAATTTTCATCAATGTTGAAAAAGTTACAAAGGAAAATAGAATTCGTGGTTTTTATCCTTGTACAGGAAATTAAAACACATGTCTCATTCACAAATCCATTACAGAACTATCACATCAATGCGAAATAGAAAATAGCTTTTAAAGTAAAGCTATTTCTTTTAATGTCGTTTATATATACATTAAATTTAATTATATATATATATATATATATGTGTGTATACATATGTATGTACAGAGGAATTTTTAATTATAATTTTTGTATTGTTATATTTATAATCTACATCAAAAAATTAACAAGAATTAACTATTTAATTACAATTTTTGATGACCAATGTATTAAAAGTTGCCTCGTTTTAATTTATATTTCATTTACACATTTACACACATATATACATGCATGCACATTCAGTTTCAAATTATTAATTACATTTAAATCATGAAACACAAATATCTACATACGATGCATTCGTTTGAAAAATGTTGAACTTCGCATAAGCAGATATAGGTGGCAGATAAATACAATACTTAAAAGGAGCGAAAGGATGATAGTTTTTCTTCCCAGATATATTAGAAATTTTTGGACGTGATTATTTATTTATAGTTATCATCAGTTAAACTAATTCTGTATTTTCATTGATGAATTTAATATTGATATGACATTTTTTAAAAATCTTATGTTTAATGCCTGTATAATGTTTTCACATTTATCAACAAAATGTTAAATTATCGGATATAATTTCGAATCATGATGCGCGAATATCTCGATACGTTAATGTTAGCGATATTTTAAACTGCATGCAAATTATGAAATTAATAATTTTTGAATACCGTTCTCATAAGAATAATTCAAAAAGTAGATTATTTTTGTTCTTATCATATATCAGTTTTGATACACGCATAACGACAGAATAAATGGATATAAAAAATATATATATCTTGTAATTTTAGTAACTATCGTGATAAAATCGTATGACACAATCGATTCATAATATCATTTTGAATCTTCATTCATTATTAAAATAACATGTTTTTGCATTATAAAGATATGAATAAATTGTATAACATCTGATTCACTTGACACATTGAACATCGTTTGACCAACATGTGGTAGAACATTTCTTTTGAAAGATGATAAGTATACGCTGAGTGAACAATAAAAAGTGTACGCAAATCTTGTTAAATATCAGAAAATATTTCAGAGAAGAAGATATAGTAAATGCAAACGGAACGTTTGTTAAGATTCGATTCATATAAAATATTACATAAAAAAATTATTTTTTGTTTTTGCTACTCATATTCACTCATGTACACTCATCTTAAGACAGATTGCTTAATACATCTGTTATGATTCTGTACAGAATCATCTATATACACAAAATTATATGAATTTTATATATTAATCAAAATTCGAATATTTCTGTCTCGCTGTTTAGATCAGACTTAATATTTTCAAAACATTTTTTTTATTCAGCTCAACGTGTTAAGTCAATGTTATAAAATCTTTAACGAGAAATAGGAAGAGTTTGTTTCTCGAGCCACTTAAGTGCCTGAGCGTTTTCCGGTCCTTGTAAGAAAGGTTTTAAAACTTTCAAACATTTCGCATGATAATTATTCAAATATTCAATCTGAAATAACACATATTATAAAACACAAGTAAAATATTTGTAATAAATAAAAATAAAATAAATAAAATCAATTATTTGAAAATGTATATACCTCATGATCTGTGAGCATCGATATGTTAAGCAGACTTGTTTGAATAGGTACAAGCGTCATAGTTTCAAAAGTCAGGTAACCTCGATTTTTGAAATTGTGAGGCGTCTTCGCAGGAACAACCAACTCAACGTTTTCCAATCTAATACCAAACTTTCCGTCCTCGTAATATCCTGGTTCTGTTTTTTTGTAAATATACATAATTTAAGTTTACTTAGTTTAAATGTTTCGATTGCGCAAATAATGTTTTATCAAGTTTTTATTATACCGTTCGACAAGAACATTCCCGGTTGTAAACCCGGATCATCCGGATGTGGTTTCCAAGAGATACCAATAGGTTCTTCATGGACATTAAGATAAGCTCCAACTCCATGACCAGTACCATGAAGATAATCAAGACTGCAAAATTAATTAACAGTTAGACATAAACAGAATTAGTTCTTTTTTCGCATAATATGATATAAAATTTTCTGCTATCATATAATAAAAATTTTTATATACCCAATACTCCACAAACTTTCGCGTGCCAACGTGTCGAGGTAATTTCCTTTCGTCTTGAAGGGAAATATTGTTGTCGAAAGTCGGCATTGCCCTTTGAAGACTCTGGTGAAACATTCACGCTCGAAATTCGTGGGTTCTCCAAAATGAAATGTTCTCGTCACATCTGTCGTACCGTCCTTATACTGTGCACCAGAATCACAGAGATAAAGTTCTTTATCTGTAATAGGTACATCAGTCTCTGGCGAAGGTGCATAATGAATAACTGCTCCGTGAGGACCAACAGATGATATAGTGGTAAAACTTAATCCAACAAAATGATCTTGTTCCCTTAATAAAAAAAAAAAATAAGTTTACTTGTGTCTACAGTTTACTGTGTGTCGCCTTATATATGAATTGACTTACTGTCTAAATTGTTCCAGCCGCGTCGCACCCGAGATTTCCGTAATGCGCTCGTTCGTATTTTTGATCTTATCTTCTAGCCAAGCGAAGTATTTCACAAGAGCGACAGAATCTCTTGCGTGCGAGGACTTCATACCTTCTACTTCGACAGCATTTTTTATTGATTTCATGATGCTAATAGGTGTGATATCCGTATGTTTCTTGATATCGCCGCAATTGGCATGTAATGCATAACTGGATTTATTACTGATCCAGATTTTATCCTGATCCGACAACGAACTCACAAATTCCTTCATATAAGCATGTATATCTTCATACTCATGAATGATAGGAGGAACACCCTCATTTTTCAGTTGTTCCAAAGCCTCCTGGCTGACTCTACTTTTATCTATAAAGACATGTAAGTCTTTCGTGGTGAGAATAACATAAGCGAAGAAGACAGGATTGAAAGGTATATCGGACCCTCTCCAATTTAGCAGATATGCAATCTCATCCAATGCGGTTACTACAAGTACCGTCGCATCATTTTCTTGCATTGCTTTGCGACATAATTTTACTTTGTCCCCTGTACTCTGGCCTGAGTATTGTAATGGTTGTGGGACCACCTTATTGGCTGTACGCGCTGGCTGTTCATCACCCCATACTTTGTCTACTAAGTTCTCAGAAAGAGAAATCAAGGAATGACCAGCAGCAGTCAGAGTCGTGTGCAGTCGCGCCCATTCAGTATAACTTATTAAATTGGCATCTGCTCCGACTACAGATTTCGGAGGTAAATTTGAAGCTAGCCACACAGCAATGGTAGGTGTATCCAATAGACCTTCCCTCATCAGAGTCCAGGCCTCAGACGGGTCCATCTCTGACAAAGCTTGTTGGTAATATCTTCCATCTGTCCACAGCAATGCCGCATCGGGCAAAACAACTACTGTACCATAGGAACCACGGAAACCGCTGATAAAACGTCGCCTCTGATCCCGTTCACTAGAATATTCTGACTGATGCGCATCCTCCCCATTGACAATCAAAGCCTGGATACCTTTCTCCCTGCCACCAGTATAAACATTTTTCATCAACGCTCGAAGCTGTGTCAGCTTCCAAAGCCCGTTCCTCTTTACCATTCTGCAATGCAAAAAAATCACATCGTTACTCTATATCAATGATTACATCAATGATAACATAAATTAAAACCACAGAAATTAATCAAGAATTGACGCAATTCGTTCTTTACCTTGCAAACAAATCTTTCAAACACAACACTCTATCGACACATCTGTCTCACGGTAGAAAACAATAAGGATCCTATATAAGAATCCTAAATAAGAACAGATATTTTCCAGAGATCTGCGACTGTGACACGTTATCTATCAGTATCGCAAAGACTCGTTTCGCATCGTCCTTTTGAAAGAACTCAGCTATCTTATCTTCGCGATAAAAGGAAAAAATCGCGGAGTCATACAAACGAGCTCCTAATCTTCTTCGATATAAACATGTGACACAAACAATCTCTCGAATGGAATCTAACGTGATTAACTCTCTTCTTTTCTTTTCAATTGGTCCGGCAAGGAACCGACACAGGTCAAAAACACGACCGATAACACATACTCGCGGACAGTGTCCCGAAATGTTTAGTTTTGATCATGAAGTCTGTTCGTTTTACCTGAACCTCTTGCACAGTATAACCGATAGTGACACTTTATGTCGATTTTTGATCTTTGCGTGACGATCACGTGGCCATTAGCTACATTAGTAGGGCTACATTCGGAAATATCACCCGAGTGACTCCATGTATCGTTTTATCCCAGTTATTTATCGAATGTTAAGCAAGGATAAGGCTGGTGTCCCATGGCGCGGAAATCCACAGCGGAACGGAACGCGCGAACCAATCACAGCACAAAAGAACGAACAGAATGAACGAGTTTTCTTTTGGTTCTTATTTATCAGCCTATGGTTCTTATTTATCAGTCTAAGACGATACACGGAGTGGGGGGAGTCTATTTCCGAACGTATCCTAGTTGGAAAATCAGGAACGAATGTAGAAATAAGTGCCCTATTATAAGTATTACGTATTCACTATTTCATTTACAAACTTTCATAGTAGGTATGTTCCTGTCGCATTAAATTTCATTGGATTCGAACAAAAACATGGCCTGCGCGAGTAAATCCGCGCGACCACGTATTTTGTCGCAAAGTGCCTCTACTGATTACTGTGTTTCTTCTTATACCTCTTTTAGTTTTTTTTCTTTTTTTTTGTTGAATGTAGAGAGATAAAGAAGAAATCCAATAAGTGTCAGTCCACAATAGGTGATTTAAGCTTTAAGAAATAAGAAATTGACTAATTATAATCGAATATGAAAAGAATACTCGATTATGATTGGTCAATTTCTTACGGCTTAAAGATTAAATACTTATTGTGGATCGACACTAAGGGATACTAACAAGAAGATATATACCAAAAAGATTGAAATTCCCTCAGGATTTAGATATTTGAAATGAATTTTTTTTCTAAAGCATATAAATGCTTTAGAACTGTATTTTATAACATAATTATTAGTTAAAAATACTAATTTGTATTAATATATATTTCTTCTTGTTAATATAAATAATGTAGATATATATGGTAAATAAACAGCCAATGTCTGCATTATTTGCAAAAGCATATATGTATATAATGAGATATGTATATTTTATTTTATATTTCTTTATAATATGCAATAGATTGACTTAAAAAATGTCATATGTAGGAATAAAAGTTTAATGGCCCTATTAACAAAATCTTAAACTATTTTTGAAATTCTAACATGAACATACTGAATTTTCAAATAAAAATTTTTTAATGTTTTTAAACTAGATTATTAGAACGATATTATTATATTTTACTTACTTATGAACGGTACTAGTTCCATGGATGTTGCCATTTTTGTTTGCAGGATTTATTCCATAACCATAAATTTCCTGCAAATTAATGACGCTTATTAATAACAATAATAATTTTATGAACGTCATTTTTTGCAGCTTTTTAAGCGGCAATGAAATAAAATTTTAACGAAAACTGTAACGCAAATGTTATCTTTATATACTTGTGTGAATTCTTTAATGCTTGATAAATCATTCGTACATAATAAATGATTACTTATAAATTATCTTATCAGATACAGTGGATCATATAAAATAAAAGTTGTTAAAGACTTTATTAAGTTTTATTCATTATATTATTATTACTGAGTTTAATGACAGAGAACTGATGATATATCATTAATATACTTGTTTCTTGAAATTTGTTATAGAAGCAGAATAATTCTAATTAGAAAGATTAAATTATTACCTTTTCTAGAATGAAAATTATTAAATAATTTACATAAAAATATGTGTGATTGAATTTATTATTTCATATATGTAATTAATATTATTTTCCTTTTCAAATTAATTTATATAAAATTGTTTCTGTTTAATATTATCTTTGGCCATTTTATTATAAGATTTATTTTCACAAAAAACTTTGTTTTATCATAAAGTTTTATGATTATATAACATAAATAAATAATATAATATTTATAATTTCAGATTAATTGTATATTTTATCAAAATTTGAAATTAAATATTAAACAGTACCAAATATTAAAATTTTAAAAGTATAATAATTTAAAAACATCAACATAATCTCTTAACGATTAAACTGAAAAAGATTCATAAAAATAATGGCACGATTATATCGTTCTGGTTTATTCCATACAGCATAATACATATAATATGGAAAATTTATGTATTAATTTATAATGACAACAGAAACGTGTAAAACACGCGTAATGTAATCAGTTGCAGTTGTGTTAATACAAATCATTTAATGTGCAAATAAATATTAAAAAGTTTGATCTTTTTAAAAATTGTGAAATCACAACTTTTAGATCTTATATTTTTAAATATTATTATTAGTCGTTTTTAATTTTCATAGAGATTATTATATTTTATAAATATTTTATACTCAACATGACAAGATATCAGCTATATTTACATATGTACATAATATACATATATTAAGGATCTGCGCATAATGAGGCAAATATTAAAAACAGAAATAAATATTAAATTTTGGAAATGAAAATTCGAAATAAAAATTAAATATAATACGCGCAATGAATATAAATAAGTATAAAATATAGTCATATTATGAAAATTATTTGTATTTATTGTGCGTTACGTTTAATCTTTATTCTGAATTTTTATTTCTAAAATTTAATATTTATTCTTATTCCTAATATTTTCTTCATTGTGCGCAGGGCCTAACATTCATTATATACCAAGTGTGAAAAATATAGCAAATCTCTATCATATGAAGCCTCGATTCTCATCTCGCGATAGTTGCACTTCGCACGATACATCGAAGCGTCGATAATCGAGGTGAAATCTAACATGACATGCCAGTCAATCAGCATGCGCTACGTTTCTTTCCGCGGAATTCCCCTCCAATGTCATGAAATTTCAATTTCATTGCGTCTATTGCC